TTTTTTTGTCTGGTTCTTGCTCTTCCATTTATGTTACAATTTGGTTTTTTATATTTTAATTTTTTATTTACTTTAATCATTCTATATAACTATAGTATATTAAGTAGAGGTAAGACAAGAAGGCCTTACCCAAAGAGAAATCTTGGTTTCTTCATTAGAGATAATATAGACTCTTTACTTTATATATATTAGTTAAAATTTATAATTTTATTGATATGTATATAAATTTATTGCATATAATGTTTGCGATTTTAAAATATTTTTATGTTATTATAATTATAAGATAACAAAAAAATATCTAATAATAAATAGAAAGAGAAATTTTGGGTAAAAAATTATATAATAATATATGATGGTACAAAGGATTTGACTAATTAAGCAAGAATGATACCAGAGGACGATAAGTAAAGAAAAAATACTAACCAACACATTATTAATATAGAAAGAAAAAGTAAAGATAAATATAGTTTAAAATAAGAAAAAGTGAGATGGTAAATTAATAAATAGTATCACAAGATTAACTAATAAGAGATGGGAACAATGATACGGAACTAAAAGTACCAATAAAATAATATAAAAAAGTTGTGATCTTTAAATTTTAATTTGTAACATCTCTAATATAGATAAAGAAAAAAAAAATTGAAATTCAAAAATATATATAATGATTGCTAGACATACAAAAAGTAATTAAAAAAATAATATAGTGAAAGGATAAAGAGTAGAAAGAATAATAAGGCAACGAACTTTCAAGAAAGCATTCTATTGCCGCTTGCCCCTGATTTTTTTTTCTTTTTTGTCATTTTTGCTCTTTTTCAATGGAGAGAACAGAGAAAGATGCAGTAGATTGTAAATAAAAACAAAGAGAAAAACAATATTAAAATGCTAGATCACAGGTGGATGAATCAAAAAGAAAGGTAAAAGGTCCCCTAGAGAAAATTCAAAAGAAAAAATCCACGACCTCAAACCCTAATACTCATTGCCAATCTGCTCTACTTAGGAAAATTTTTCTTCTCCCTATTTCATGTTCTCTTCTTTCGGACTTATAAGTTATAAGAGTTTAACCGTACATACTAATTTAAAATTTTTAATTTAACATTAACATTAAAATTTAAATTTTTATAACATTAAATAATTAACTTTTAATTTATATATAAAAAAAAAATTCCACTGGTTATGGCTGCTGAAGATGTCGTGGAATCTGCTGCCTACGGGCACTAGCCACAAAGTGACATTTTTGCCGCTTGCTCTCTTCCGTTGTTGGGTACTGCAAGTTTTTTTTCTTTACAATTTTGCTTGACATTTTCCTGTTGGAAAAGTTCCATATTTAAAGTGGTACCATATAGCCAGGAAGTCGTCTTGTGAAACAATAGGAGATTGACATGGTGGGGGCACCAAAAGACAAGAGGACAACCGAAAGGGGTAGGGCCTAGAGAATTGCAAGAACTAGAAGAGTCACCCCTCTCGTGAATATGGTTTGGATCTTGTGAGCTGTGGGTGCTGCTCGCCCTTTTCCAGTTTGGATTCATGCCTCTTCTCGTCACATGCATCTCCAATAATTTAATTTGTATGTGTCATAAAAATAATAATAATTTGGTAAAATAAATGCCAAATCGCTATGTCTTCTAATTTTTTGCATTAAGATTGAATAATAAATTTAATATGATCATTAACACTGGATAGAAAAGTTTTAACATAAGTTTTTTTACCAATAATTTAAATAATTTAGTGATTATTTTCTTTCATGAAAATAAAAGATTTTCAATTTGAATCACATAATATGCGAATTAAATAAAATAAAAAATTAAAAATAGTTGCATCTTATTGTACAAACAAAATAAAAAATTATTATTATTATTATTATTATTATTATTTTACATAACTCTATTAATGTCTTTACAAAATATATTAATATTTATAGATTTTTAATATTTAATTATCTTATTTGTAAAAAACAATAACCCTTTAAATTAGTTTCATAAATTATCTTTAATTTATTTAAATTTTCTTTGCAGAATATATAAGGGGACATAATTTGTATTATAATTGTTTTAATTATTAATATAAATATACTTTCTGTAAAAAAACAATATTAATTTGTATTTGTGATTGTTGTGTTCATGCTCGTGCCCCTTCTCGACCATTACCATTCATTGTAAAATAATTGACTACTCAGAACAAGCGACGAAACAGAGACTTGATGGAAATTATATACGTCACGAGCTTAGCTAGGTAGCTACTTCAAATACTTATCTTCTTTTTTACCTTGATGATGCATAGAGGCTCCTTCAATTCATCCTCATCCAGCAAAATGTCGACAACGCTACTTCTATTTGCCCTCTGCTTCTATCTACTTACTTGTTTTTGGGTGACAATGGCAATGGCAACCGATTCCGTTCAACTCAACGACGATGTCTTAGGCCTCATGGTGTTTAAATCCGACCTTCAAGACCCCTCTTCTTACCTTCGCTCCTGGATCGAAGATGATGAGACCCCATGTTCTTGGCAGTTCGTACGCTGCAATCCTGTAACTGCCCGAGTTTCAGAGCTTTCTCTTGATGGATTGGGTTTATCAGGGAAGATTAGCGGCAGGGGCCTTCAGAAGTTGCAACATCTCAAGGTTTTATCTCTTTCCTGTAACAATTTTACTGGTAACATCAGTCCGGAACTCGGCTTCATTCACAGTCTTCAAACACTTAACCTTAGCCAAAACAGTCTTTCTGGTCCCATTCCTACCTCTTTTGTTTCGAATTCAATCAGATTTCTCGATCTTTCTGGGAATTCTCTTTCAGGGCCAATCCCAAATGATCTCTTCCGGAACTGCTCCCTAAATTATCTCTCACTATCCCGAAATTCACTTCAAGGATCACTCCCCACCAACCTACCAAGATGCAGCTCCTTGAATACCCTCAATCTCTCCGACAATCACTTTTCTGGAAGTCCAGATTTTGCCTCTGCCTCAGGTATTTGGTCCATGAACCGGCTTCGGGTTTTGGATCTTTCTAACAATCAGTTTTCAGGGGCTTTACCACTAGGGATGTTCAACCTGCATAACTTGAAACAGCTCCTCTTACAGGGCAATCGTTTCTTTGGACCACTACCACCTGACATGGGACTATGCCCCCATTTGACTACATTGAACTTGAGCCATAATCTTTTTTCTGGAGAACTACCAGAGTCTCTCCAAAACCTCAACTCTCTCACTTGGTTTAGCTTGTCAAACAATATGTTAACAGGGGAACTTCCTTTGTGGATCGGAAATCTGAGCAGCCTCCAACACTTGGACCTGTCAAGCAACAGTATATCAGGGAGCCTACCATGGACAATTGGTAACCTCAAATCTCTCAATTACCTGAGTTTATCCAGCAATAATCTAACCGGGAACATACCCACATCGCTGGCTTACTGCTCTGAGTTATCCGTGGTTCGATTGAGAGACAATGGTTTAAATGGTAGCATACCAGATGCGCTGTTTCAATTGGGATTGGAGGAGGTAGATTTTTCCCATAATGGATTGACAGGTCCAATGCCACCAGTTTCCAGTCGATTAATTGAGTCTCTCCAAGTGTTAGATCTTTCAAGAAACAATCTCGAAGACCATATCCCTGCAGAAATGGCTAACATCAGGTTCTTGAACTTATCGTGGAACAATCTTCAGATAAAGTTTCCCCCAGAGATTGGTTTCTGGCGGAACCTGACTGTTTTAGACCTTCAGAACACTGCTTTATACGGTGCCATTCCGACTGGTATTTGTGATTCTGGAAGTTTGACAATTCTTCAATTGGACGGAAATTCCTTGACCGGTCCCATTCCAGATGAAATTGGCAATTGCTCATCGCTCTCCTTATTGTAAGTCTTTATAAAATTTAATGTATATCTATATTTTTTTTTTGGTACGTAAAGACTAAAGTTTGAAGTCTAGAGCTGTGACTAAAAGCCTACGTAGCTACATTAGCATAACATAGTCTACCAAACCATATAATTAATGGTATAAAATTTAATATATTGATGATTGTTTATGTACATATTAATTATGTAAACAATTTTGAATGTAGGAGCTTGTCTCATAACAATCTAAGTGGATCCATCCCCAAGTCCATTTCAAATTTAAGCAAGCTCAAGATTTTGAAATTGGAGTTGAATGAGCTAAGTGGAGAAATTCCAGTAGAGTTTGGAAGGTTGGGGAATCTGCTAGCAGTAAACATATCACACAACAGGCTGACCGGAAGGCTGCCAGTTGGGGGCATATTTCAGAGCTTGGACGCAAGTGCCATGGAGGGGAATTTGGGCATCTGTTCACCTTTGTTAAAGGAACCCTGTAAGATGAATGTACCCAAACCTTTGGTTTTAGACCCTTTCGCTTATAAGGTTCCATCTGGGAGAACAAACCGAACTTCATCAACTTTCCATCACCGAACCTTCCTCAGTGTTTCTGCCATCATCGCAATTTCAGCTGCTATCCTGATTGCATCCGGTGTAATTGTTATCAGCCTGTTGAATGTATCTGTGCGGAGAAGGCTTGCCTTTGTAGACAAGGCATTGGAAAGTATGTGTTCTACCTCTTCTTCTTCTTCGAGATTTGGGAATCTGCAGACTGGAAAGTTCATTCTGTTTGATTCAAGTTCCGATTGGATCAACTGCAAACCCGAGAGCGTCCTACAGAAAGCTGCAGAGATTGGCGGAGGAGTGTTTGGAACTGTTTACAAGGTCTCCTTGGGTGATGGAAGAATGGCGGCACTCAAAAAGCTGGTGACATCTGATATAATCCAATACCCAGAAGATTTCGATAGAGAAGTTCGAGTTCTAGGAAAAGCAAGGCATCCGAATCTGATATCACTAGTAGGATACTACTGGACTCCTCAATTGCAGCTTCTGGTATCAGAGTATGCACCGTATGGTAACTTACAGACCAGGCTGCACCAAAGACAACCTTCTACAGCTCCTCTTTCTTGGACCAGCAGATTCAAAATTATTCTGGGAACGGCAAAAGGACTGGCTCACCTGCACCATTCCTTCCGGCCACCCATAGTTCACTACAACATAAAACCAAGCAACATCTTGGTGGACGAGAATTGCAATCCTAAGATCTCAGATTATGGACTGGCAAGGCTTCTGAGCTTGAGGAGACTTGAGAAGCATGTGATAAGCAACAGGTTTCAGGGTGCAGCCGGGTATGTGGCACCAGAACTAGCATGCCAAAGCTTGAGGGTGACTGAGAAATGTGATGTTTATGGGTTTGGGGTGTTAATGATGGAGCTTGTGAGTGGAAGGAGGGCGGTAGAATATGGAGACGACAATGTGATGATATTAAGCGAGCAGGTGCGAGTAATGGTTGAGCAAGGGAATGTGTTGGACTGTGTGGACCGTAACATGGGAGATTACCCAGAAGATCATGTGTTGCCAGTGCTAAAATTGGCGCTTGTATGCACTTCTCACATACCTTCCAGTAGACCTTCCATGGCAGAAATAGTTCAAATACTGCAGGTTATCAGGACCCCACTTCCACACACAGTTGAATTGTTCTAATTTTATAACTGTCACTTTGTTTATCTTGTCCAGAGTACTCCAGCCGCAGCTCTTTGAATTTGACAATTCACATAAACACAAAACTCTTCAAGTTTAGAGTGATGAGAGCTTTATCCCATTAGCTTTTGCCTATTCTAACTGACTGCCATCATTCATTTTATGTGGCTGCATTGCATGGAATAACTGCTTAAAGTTCATTGCATACAATAGCTGAATGAAATACAGCATGTAAAACCGTTAAAGGATGCAGAAAATAAGAATGTTTTAGCATTAAAACTATCCGGATATCTCATTAAAATTACATGATTAGTAAGACATAATGTAGGCGTTATTTAAGTTGTGGTTTGGATTGAATAAGACATAATGTAAATCTCATTTAAGTCATGAGTAAGATTGAATAAAATATAATGTAAACCTCATTTAAGTTATGGTTGAGATTAAATGTTCTAATACTTTTTATATTAGAATGTCTTTAATTTTAGTTTTCTAAAATATTAAGCAAATTTCTGTTTCCAAACAGTATATGGTTATAATTCATTGCTAATAAATGAAAAAGAAAGTATGAAAGAGTTACAAGGATCCACCATTTCTAATTCTACCTTTGGACATTCCGAATTAATCTGGTTGGTAAACGCAAGCCTCCATAAGACTGATCTTTTTTCCTTCCACTATTACTCGCTAAGCGAACAAGTAAAATCAGCCAATTCAAAGGTAATAAACTTCACTTATCATGTGCGTTTCATTCAAAGGGTTCAATAAATACAACCTGCTGAAGCTCTGTCCAGCAATTTTGCTAATGGTATAACAACGACAACCATCCAAGGGTTATTTTTTACCATACCACAAGTAACTACAGTTGAATGCAGACAACATATATACCCGTTTATTTGGTAGCAAATTGCAGTAGTTTGCAATTTGATTTGTTACAAGAAAGCTCTCTAGCCATGATGGCCCCTAGGTTTTGCCCATATTAATTAAGATGATTAGCTACCAAGCGCAACATGCTGCTGGACATTTTACCTCTGAATTTAATTGAGACTTCTAAATACTTTAAAAATACATAATTTCAACACTTTAAAGTCCAATCCTATAACCAATGACCTAAATAACTCGGTGATTATCTCTTTCAATTGAAAGTAAGAGGTTTTAAATTCAAGTCGTATGGTATCCGAGTGGGGTGAAATAAAAAATGAAATATGGTTATCTGAAAAAAAAGAAAAAAAAAAAGAAAAAAAAAAAACGTCCAATCCTATATTTTGGCCCAAAAACCAAAAGTCCAATCTTACAAGAACACAAGTCTTTAAAACCCAACAATTATATTAAGCCCAAATAATTAGATGGATTCAATTACCCCAATATTATTTTTTTTTAATTTTAAACTCTAATTTTAAGGACAGTGTGATTTTACCATCTATGCTATAATATTCCTAGGTATGTCTCAATAACTACTAGAAATTGAAAAAAAAAAAGGAAAAAAAGAAAAAAAACTAACATTTATGATTCTATTAATAATACTCACTATTTTATGGTGTCATTCATCAATTTTCAATCAAGATATTATTATAAAGTACATTTTTAAAATGTAAACAAATTAACATCATATATACTTACTACCTTTATGATCAATAACATGATCACAATATATTATATTAACAATACTAAATGGTGGTGTAACAATCAATTAAAAGGCAGATTAAGGTTAAATTAAATAAAATGACAATTATACATACACCCAAACAATCAACACCCATCTCAACACCATGGCTAAAATGAGGAGGGGTAAATTTGTAATTTTACTGTTCATAAGCATTGGGTGTTGAGATGGGTGTTGATTGTTTGGGTGTATGTATAATTGTCTAATAATTTAATATCTGCAAATGATCTTAGGTCCAGTGGGTTGTTTGGGTGGCAAGTCCAATCTCTCATTCCATTTTTTATCCGTTAGGTCTTTTCTATTTTGTCCAAATGAAAGATATAGCCCAAGTCCAAAAGCAAGTCTAAATCCAAGGTTTAGGCTACCCAACAAGTTATGGGTCATCTATTGGGCTAAATTAGCCCACAAATACATTAGAGATCAAATCAAGTTGCTCAGGGAAAAATTCAGGGTTTATAGAAGATCCAAGCTGTTCTTCATTTTCAACGGAAAATTCCAGATTTCAGGCCGCAAACCCAGATGTCGGCGAGTAAACCCAGAATCCGGTACAAACCAAAACTCATATATATATGCCAAGACTCATGTGTGTGTGTATATATATAATAATTATATTTAATAAATATAAATAAATCACAACCACTCAAAATAAAAAAATGAACTGTTGAGATTTTAAAAATGTATCAAATCAAAAGATATATTAATCATTTTTCACTTCAATTATATAATAGTTTAAATTGAAATTCAATTATATCTTACAATATTATAAAAATTGTTAAAATTTTTAATAAATTTTGAATAAATATCTAATGAACCATGTAAAATCCCTCTAAAAAAAAAACTAATGAGTCTCTTAAAGAAAATTCATTGAGAAGGTTGAAGTTTAATTAAATTCAATTGATATCCTTTCAAATTTCCTTGTTCTCAAGATTCATCTAATTTTTTATTAAATTAATTCGTTATATAATAATATTTAATAATACTCCAATTATATCAAATTTCTTATTAATTGTTCCCAACTTCCTCTTCGTTACCACATAATAATTTGATTTCTACATTTACATATAATTAAAGTTGAAAATAAATTATCTAAATATATAATCCAACTTTTATTTTAATTATATAATATGTTTTTTTTTTTAACGGTGTACAATTTGGGGATGAGAGAAGAGGGAGTTTTCAAAACGGTGGTGGAACTTAAAACCTCAACTACCTCACCCAAGCACTTAAAGGTTTGGGATCGAATAATTGAGGTTAAAGGCCTGATTCCAATTATATAATATGTTTAATGTAGACACCCAAATTGATTCTTATTTACTCCATTACTATAGGACTAGGCCATAATGATTAAGTAAATAATTCTGAATAAGGGTATTTTTTAATAATGATGGCTAAAATATCAAAAATTATATATAGCCACAAATTATAATATGGATAATCGATGTCTGTCAACTTAATAATGATTGTACTTAAAAGACTCATTTAGAAGGCACAAGACGAGGTCTGAACAAACCACCTAAATGTAAGTGAGAGTATAAGCACCTATAGGAAACCTAAAAATAAAGAAAAGTCTTCAATAAGAACCTAAAATCTCTGGGTATTCTCTTTATCAAAAGCTTAACTTATCAAAAAATTATGAAATGAAAAACAAACAGACCTTACAGGCTTTCAACATATTTATTAAGATAAAAAGTAAAACAATTCTATCATACACACAATATATAGATAGAGAAAGACAGTGGTATATAATAATAGATAGAGCTGCAAAGGAAAACTAAGAAAAAATAATATTAAGAGAATAAGGATAAGGGAAGAAAGATTAATAATAAACAAATTATTAACATGTAGAGAGAAAATGAGGGCAATATAGAGTAGACAAATAAATATAATGATAAAATGTGAAGAAGAAAGTAAAGAGATTGAGTCCTAAGAAAAATTAATGAAAAATGAAGTATCAATAAGTGAAAACGTACCAAGAAGAAAAAAATTGTGTAAAAAAAGAAATATATTTTGATAGACATAAATTCAAAATAACTAAGAAAAAATAATATAGATGAGAGGATAATGAGAGAAAGAATAATAATAAAGAAATTAATAACATAAATAGGGGAAGAGAGGGGAATAATGTAGGCTATTTGTTGGAAAAAAAGAAAAAGTAGGCTGTTTACCCTACATTGATTAAAACTTATAATTTTGTGGATATCTGTAAAAATTTATTTCATATATTATTGTAATACTAACAAAGTGCAAAACATTTAATGTAGATAGAAAAGGGACAATGTCTAAAAAGATATATCTAATTCAACATTTATCTATTTTTAATTGGGCCCACATCGCCTCACATTTTGTGCAGTTAAGTCCCTAATTTTCAATTTGTTTAAAATTTTGTCCAAATTTTTTGGAATTTGTTCACTTTAGTCCTTTGCTTTTAATCTATCTCAATTTAGCATATTTATTTCCAGTTTTATATATCCAACTAAGCCCAAAACTTTGAAATTTAAAATTTACACCCATGCATGTTTGGTTTGGTGGCATTTAACGCCATTAACTTAAAAAAGATGTTTATAAGTTGAAATAAACCCCCCAAATTTTAAAGTATGCAATTGTTTTTAACACAAAAGATTATGAGATGTGTGTATTCCCAAATCTCAATTTCTACGTATACTATTTTTAAATGACTTATTCTACTTATAATTTAGGCAAACAACAACTAATTTCTTATCATTTCACTTAATTTTCAAATTAAATTTATTTATTTGAAATTTTAAGCGATCGTCAACAAAGTTCATCGAACTTAGTGGTGAAAGGTCCACCTAAATAGTTGGCGTTGCATGTGGAGTGCTTCTATTTTGGGGCTAGCCCTCATAGTTGGAATAACAATTGTTTTAGAATGGGATGATAGTTCCCTTGTGGAGGTTTCTTCCTTCTCTTCCTGGGTTATTGTTGTATTAGTGCAAAGATTGACTATCCTTGTAGGCTCCATGAATCAATTTAGCAATTTTAATGATAATTACAATAAAAAAAAACTTTTTGGTAAAAAATAATAATAAAATCAACCTTTTTTTTATAAGAAATAAAATTTCATTGAAATAAGAAAACATAAGAGTTATATGACCAACTTGAATGGGGTAATACACACATAAAATATATAAAAATATAAAATTAAATAATTTAATATTTACATGAATATCACGTTTAAGTCCAAGATCAAGATTAATTATTAAGTCATATTTCAAAATAATGTATTTAGATAAAAGATAAATTAGTTACAAGCGGAGCAAATTTCGGTTAGAGACCCCACCCCCAACCATGCATTTAATAGTCAAAACAAGGTATAGCAACAGCTCTAAGCCCAACTAACCTCACGTTCACACTGCCATCCTTCTTTGATAAAAACAAAACTTGAAGAAAATTATTTAGTCGGCTACTTGCATCTTACTTGAACTTGAGTTGTAAGTATTTGTGAGTATTTGTGCTTGATGATTTATTTTGAGGTGAAATAGATCTCATTCTTTTGGTTTTATTATTTTCGATTTCATTTTCCCTC